TACTTGTGGGAGCTCTAGCAAATGCCAGGTACAAACTTGTAAAAATATACAGCAATATTACACATTTCCATGCAACTGTGTACTAAAGTATGTAAAATATTAGTTACATAATGTGCACTTTGGCTAGCAAGGTGTGCTGATGCCATGTTATAAATCCTGTCTTGACTATTAACACCAATTTCAGTGCAGTGTGTAGACCACGTTTGCAAAACATGATTCACCTGTCACGATTTGCCCATCATTTACTTAATCTCCCAATTTTTATTAAGATTGTGGAAATGGCTAATCAGTGTGCAACGTGTAGTAAATTTGTCAATTGAAAGTACCTGATTATGGTCAAACTGGTAAATGAAATAATGTAGAGTAGCATCGGCCTGTATGAGTTAACCTCAATCACGTTACTCTGGCAAGTATGAGTACATGTAGTTGAACGTGGACACAAGATAAATTATGATGAAACTGGGTATATCATTAAATCATAAGGCCAATAAACATGTTTCAATGGGATGGTTACTGTGAAACCATGATGGATGAGTCAGGTCAGGCAGTTATGTTTTGGAAACCTGCATCTACACATTGCAAGCCTAAAAGGACCCAACTTCCTTGTTTGAAAAAGACAAAGAGGAGACTCTGAACAAGCTTGAAAAATATCATTTCATTTAGAAAGATTTCTTTAAATATTTGACCCTACTTTACATATTAATTACACTATACATACACCTAATGTCTGGGATAAAACTTCCCCTTTCCAAAACCTGATAACATATTAGCATTTGAAGGTAGAACCAACTACATGTAGCCAATGCATAAATTAATAATAGGGGTTGATGGAGAGTTATTTTAAAAATATTTCAACCCAGCTTCAAGCCTGGTGCATGGGTGCCATTCAAAGCATGATTAGCCAAACCATGATAAGTGTAAATTATTTTTAGTTCCAGTCAGCAAGATTTAAAAAGATTGAAAAATCAAGCTGTTCGTGGCTTGCCAAAGAAAGGTCATGTCCTATCAATAATAATTATTACTAGCAAGGACCTAAACTTTAAATACTCATACTAAATACTCAATACTAGTTGTTTATTTCTGTTAACTAGAAATGAGGAAAGAGCACATTACATTGTGTAATTCTAACTGCAAAGGACCTTTACTGACCCCATCAACCACCCACCCCACTAACAGGAAGGGTACCATTTAGGCCTTTGTGGGAGACTTTGATGTGCGATACCTAGCGTATACCCGCAGAAATAGTGCAACAAACACAACAAGCACACCGAATACTGCTTGAGCTGACAATGGGTGATTATAAAGAATGCAAGAGAGAAGTATACTAAGCATCATGCGTGTAGTCATGATGATAGTGAAGACAATGGGACCAAATGATTGAATGGTGTAAAAAATAAACAGCTGCCCTGTGGCTGACGTTATTGACAACACCAGGGCATGAAATGCAAACTCTGGATGACTTAACATGAACCCCAATGCTGACAAGAAGTTTCCGCCTTCGATCATTGACCACATTGTCAACAAACAAGAAAACAGATTCACGCCAAACATCATCTGCATAGAGGACATCTTGTGTGTGGTAAACAGCTCTGATTGCCAATTGGAGGTAAAGCTATCAAAAGCCATGTATCCCAGAAGAATAACTGCTCCAGAAAAGGTTGTGGCAGCTGTTGTACGCTGCCCTGATGGATCTGCTGACAAAAGAAACAGGCTGACACCTGCAGAAAGGAGAACAGCCACAACATATTCATAGTAGGGATAGACTTTCTTGGAGACTATCTTCCCCATGATCATCACAGGAATTATCTTTGATGCCTTGCACAGGACCTGTGTCGGAAAGCTGACAAATTTTAATGCCTCGTACTGACACCAGCTGCTCATTATGTTTGAAAAGGAGCAATATGAATACTTGTATAGTGGTGCAGTGTGTCGTGGCTGTCGTGTGAAGACTATATAAGTGACGGCAACTGTGAGAGCAAGGACACGGTTGACAAAAACAAGGAATTGAGAATTTGTAAATTTCACGTCCTGAACTGTTCCATCGGCCATGTGCTCCTTGTAGTCCCGTGTCATTATCCGTTCTTGTAAGACTCCCCATGTGAGATATGATACTTGAAGACCTGTTGCACAAAACAGGAGCTTTAAAGTTGTTTTAGAAAAACTTGATGGGGTAGCTGTGTCATCCTTTGCAGAACTTGCTTTGATACCACCCTCCTCAACACTCGGTGTCTCCTGTGGTGTGCCAAACACACAAAGCTGGACAGAACGGAATAGGCATCCTGTTCCTGGTGACAATAAAGCAAATTTCTTAATCATGGTAACATAAAAATTTGGATATAAGCCCTGGGCTTATACAGCCCCATGAGGGGTTAAAAAATAATATTTGTATCAAAATAAACTGATGAAACCAACATTCAGCAGTATGATAAGCTGTTTTATGCTCATGGGAACAAGACACACAAGGTACAGGTAAGTTCGCAAAAGCTTAAGATTATGATAATGAATACAAGACAAACAATGGGAAGTAAAAATAATTATGAAACTGTGTTGAGAAGTTTTTAACCAAAGATAAACTGAAACCACAACAACATCGTATATAGGGGAAAAGACAAGTCAGAGAGGTACACACAACTAAGTCTTATAACTGTAACTTTACAGTAGTAACTAAATTTCTACTCTGGTAATTAGAAGGTGCGGTGTCCTTATGGCTAGTGCACTTGTCTCCGGATCAAGCAATCAGGGTTTGAGCCCTGGCCGGGGACAATGCATTGTGTTCTTGGGCAAGACACTTTACTCTCACAGTGCCTCTCTCCACCCAGGTGTATAAATGGGTACTGGCAAACGTAATGTTGGGGGTAACCCTGCGATGGACTAGCATCTCATCCAGGGGGGAGTAGAAATACTCCTAGTGGCCTCATGCTACAGAAACCAGGATAAGCTCCAGCCTGATGGGCCACTTGGCTCGTATGAAGACTGTACTTCCCATTTACTTACTTTAAAATTATAAAGATAAGTAAGTAAAACTATATTTAGCCAGGACAGCCCATTCAACATCATGGCTGGTATCCAGAGGGGCCCTGGTAATAAATATTAATACAATCAACCTTTTCAAAATACACCTCCCTGTGTGACCATGTCTCTCTAAAATTTTTAACAACTACATGTAATTTTCACAGAAATGGACAGATCTCAAAAAGAACAAGAAATTCTCAAGTTTCTGAAATCGCAATATCATTTCTACCATTCAAGATGAAACTTTTCATGAAAGACTTTGGCTGTCGCTCAATAGATTCTGTAGATTCAAGCACTCATGTGAAAACCAAACTACGCTTGTCACCAGTGCTCTTAATGTAAACTGGTACCAAGCAATGGTGGCCATGTCCACCATAAACAGCAAGTTCTTTTCACTTGTTAGCTTCCAAAGTGCTTTTTGGAAAGAGACTATTTATTTCAAATATAATGTGATTGAAAAACAAGTACTGAAGCTGCTATTACATTATGTGAGAGATGTACTTATTAGGTAAAGGACAATTTTTGAACAGCTAAAATTTCAGTCTTGGAAATATTTCAAGGACTTCAATGAAGTAACGATAGTCTGAAGAATCATAGATCTATATCTAATCTTACAATGGGATTGAGAAAATTAATCAACAATTATTTTGCTTATGATGTTGTTGCGGCTTCAGTTTATCTTTGGTTAAAAATTTTCAACCCAGTTCATAATTAGTTTTACTTCTCACAGTTTGTCTTGAATTCATTGTCAAAAAAAAAAAAATCAGTTGGAACAATTTTGAACCAAAAATAGACTTTTAATTCCAACATTTACATTTGGCAGTTTCCTCCAACTAATGTGTTAAGCTATATCTCAGTCTGTGTTTCTTAAGTTCACTTATTAATAAATGACCAAGATAAAATCATGATCACTTTGGACTTAAATAAAGTAAAACTAAATAAAATTCTTTTGTGGCCAAAGTCTTGTAACAACGCAATGTGGAGCTTGTACTTAATCAAGTTGTTTCTATAGAAATAATCACAACCTTAAGGAATTTGTTTTATATTTGCACCCCATGAAAAGCCACAACTGACTACATGTACTAGAAGGTGTTTTCATAGAGTTTAGGGGCGATTGCTCTCCAAATCATTTCCCAGAGAAGATTATGAAACAATCCCTGATAATAGAGAGACAGCACCATGACCTTCGCAGCACTTGTGGTGAAAACAGTAATAAAATTAGGATTAAAAACCTTTGCTTCAACATTAATCAGTATGACACCAAGAACACCAAGATGAAGGTACAGCAGGTTCAAGTTTAGTCAGAGTGTTTTAAAACCATCTCAGTTGCTGCCGTTGCTGTAACAGTTGACTGATTGCATTGTGAGGCAAAATTTCAGATGTTGCCAGGTGGGAAATTATGAAATTGTTCTGTCTAGGGCAAGGCATGCTCAGGTCACTCTTATTTCCCAGGTTGACCTTTATCTTCTGATCTAAGATGCCCAGTTATCAACGAAATCCTTGAAAGAGGAGGTGGAGTGCCATTAAACAATGATTAATTTTTTTCAGCCAATTTTTAGATTTGCTTCACAAGGGACAATACAGCTTTTCCTAGACAAAAAGTGACCATTCCCACCTAACAATATACAACATTTCACCTTGCAACCTTAACAATGTGGCCAATGAGACTGTTAAAATACAACCTGATCAAACCTGATATATGAAATAAATTGAAGGGACAGCAAATTAAAATTAGTTTGAGAACCTATCCAGGAGAACAGGCCCAAAAGTTAAATCAAAACCTCTGTTTATTCTAGTAGAAACTATCCACAACTGCAAGCTTAGAGCAGAATTATAAACTGGTTGTGGCAGTGAGGAAATAAAAGTGTGGCTGGCATACAATAAGGAGGAACTGATGAATTTTTACCGTGTATAAAAAATGATTAAAGATTAAAGGAAATATACTGGCTGTTGAGAGACGAGTGCTGGAGATTCAACTGATTCAAGCCACTTCATTATTGTTTGTTTAAATCTATTGCCTGTAGCAGCTTCGTTATAATTATGAAATGGGATTTTCTACTTAGTACACGTATGCAATTTACTAAAAACAACTTACCACTTTTTTCGTTGAAGTTTGAATTCTTGAGCATACGGATAATAAAGGCAGCTGGAATGATTATTGTTGCATAGCCAAGGAGGTTCCAGGACAGGTTCTCGACCCAGTTGTCGCTGCTAGAAGTTTTATTTTCTCCACCGCTCGCTTCTTTCTCTCCCTCGTTGACTCCTAGCGACTCTTCTGCAATAACGTTTACTCCACATATTGCCAAAGCAAGAACTGACATAACGGCCACACGGAAAACTGGAACGTGTTTTAGCATTTTGAAGTTTGCAGTATAAACGGTGTAAAAGGCTTGAATCAGAAAATTTTTAAAACAAACTTTCACGGAACAAAGCCAATCTTAGAACGAAACTACCACTTGAGATATTGGAGTCCTTGTCTATAAGTTATAAAAACTCCCTGCAATCATCTTAAAAGGCAAAACGGTTTCATTTCACTTTGAATATTCATCACGCCAAGTGCCACGTACAAAACAGCAGTGCACCGCCATGACAGCAGCCTCACCACCACAAACATGAAGCCTCGTCTCCAGTTTTCATCCTACCTCCAATCCCATGATGCCTTGAAAACTGACACACACGAGAAACATCATTGCGAAAACGGACCAAAACGGGAGGGCAGAGAAAAGTAAAATTTCTTGCTGGTTTTTCAGACGACCGTCTGTTGGCTGTGTTTTAAATGAGTCCATAAAAATGACCATGCCACGTCCCAATCTTTTGCAATACAGACATGTATTAAAATTTGAACCGAACACTGATCACCAGGGGCAACCCTAAAACAAGAAATCCAGATTCCGGATTCCGGATTCCGGGTTCTGGATTCCATGTGTAGAGTTGCCCAATCACAGGTCTCTGGTCAGAAACAGGGCATCGATTTTGGCCATTTTGGTCTCCGATGGTATGGTGCTCTCTAGCAGGGTCCCTAGCCCAAAACATGCACTACGAGCGTGCAGCTACCCCATATTCCTGTCACGGCGCCTTTACAGACCGATCTATTTTTAGTTTGAATTTACCGCGAATTCGGACTCCCACAAGAACCTCAGTGACCAATCACGAGCACGGACTTAAGTTTTAACTGAAGTCATCATTTCAGCGGAAGATTAAAAAGAAAAACAGCCATTTTTTCCTTACTAATGCGAGCTCACGGTAGACCGGAACTGACCTATTTCGCGGAAAAAGAAGCCTTAAAATAGACCGGTCTGTAAAAATGCAGTGACATAGGCTTAGTATGGGAAATGCACGCTCCAGGTGATGGGCTCTTGACTCCAGCCTTGAATAGGATGTGTTTTAGAAAAAGTATTCAGGCTGCTATCCTACCTAATAGAAGCAAATAAATATTGCCTTTAACATTATTATTATTATTATTATTATTATTATTATTATTATTATTATTATTGTTAACATTGGTCTGAACTAGGGAACTAATTGTAAGGCAGGCCTGAAAAAGGTATTGATTTAAGGGTCAGGTCTTGAATAGGGTATCAAATGTTTGGTCAGGACACAATAGGGTAGGGAAAATCGCAGATTTTGGCCTTAAATAGGGAAGGTCTTTTGGGAAGCGGGCCGCACGCCTCAACCCAATTTTACTGGGAGTAACCCCCGCCCCTCTCCAGCCATGAACAGTTGAGTGCCTTACACTCTGTGCGTGACACGACGTAAATATAAGAGCTTTCGTGGGAATGTAATGATCGTTTATAACACAGTTCCAAATATGGAAAAGAAGATTAAATAAGAACGACTTATTTTGACTCTTCTGTGTGCTACCTGTGTTTCCGTTGCGTTTTGAGGCTGTTTCAAAGCGTTTTCGCGTTTTCACCGAGCTTTAGTTTCGCTGTTTTCCTCTCTGTATATCATTCCCATATAGAGAAGCTTACATACAATCCTATAAAAGCTCATATTCGTGCTGTGTTGCGCAACAGAGTAACATATTTAAAATGTTCACGGCTCCCAAGGAGCTTGCGAAGACCTGTGAACATATATATGTCTTTTCTAACCCTAAGTTTAAGCTCGTGTCTACTGTCGATATCTTACAACTCTATGATATAGTACTGAGTGTAAAGTAACCTCAATATTCTCTTGCAAAAAGATTTTCGTTTGACTTCGCCATGATCAAGCTCAAATATACTTGAAAGTGCAAGATGGAATTGAACAAGAACAACCGAGCCAATTACCACTTATACACGATGACATCAGAAAAGCAAATTTCACCACCATGCCTCGCTTTTAAAATGCAAGTTGAAAATGTTATCGTCGACAAATTCCCAAAACATGGAATAGGTTCTATCGCCTTTTTCCACATGTATATACTTGAATTGCTACATATTTTGCCATTAAATTATAATAAATAAATGAAAAGAATACACCATCGTGGAAAAAACGAGGTGTCAGAGGTTTGAGAAAATCTCTTACAAACGAGGCTTGGTGGTGAATTTTGAGCGTGTGATAACTGCGTGTGATGTAATTACGGCGCTCGTTTGCCGAGATGTTGTTTCTCTGAAATCAAGGCGCCGAACTCATCTTAAAAAGTGGAATGAATGATTTATTTCCACCGTGAAGTTGACTGGCCCGTCTATAAACTCAGAAGAATTCTTATCCAGTAGCGGATCCAGAACTTAACCCTTTGAGCCCCAGTCACATTTACATGGGTAATCAATAGTCGTGCTCTTTGTACCACTTGTGACGTCATCAACTTAAATGTCATCAGATATTCTTGATAAGCAGATAGTAGTACTAGGCTAGGCCTTTTCGTACAATGGTCAGGTTTAGATATCGACGACATTCCGACGTCGCAAATCGAAAAACGTTATCAGTTTTGGTGCGCAAACGGTGGTAAAATAGTCCACTACGCCTATGATTGATCAAGGTCCATTTCTAGGGTACGCCCGTAATTACCATCCAACTTTTCACGGCAGCCAGAAAGACCATGCAACGCAAAAGGTAGCCAGAGTAAAAGGGCCGAGAAAAAGAGAAAGGAAAGGGGCAACAAACAAAATTGAGAAAGGTTAATGGCAAAAAAAGAAAAAAAAATTTTGGCTTATGCGCATGCCCGGAATTGAATTATTGCTCAATTTTGTACCTAATCCTCGAAAAAATCTCTCTTTTTGGTAAAAAAAAAGCTTTCTTAGTAAAACTCAGGTTTATTTAGCGTTATGGCAGCCAAAAAACCTGACTAAACGGCGACAGTTTGGTATTCAAAGGGTTAAGCTAAC